CCATAGAGATAATGTCTCCATATCTTTAGGGCGAATACTACCGCTGCCAACTCCAGATCATGAGTGGGGTATTTCTTCTCATGCTCTTTTGCAACTTTTACAATTTTGGCCCAAAATCCAAAAACTTTACAATTTTTATCCTTTTTGGAAAAGAAAAGCATTTTAACCCTTAAAATAGTTTTGTTTAACTCTTTATCCCATGTTTTAAGGAATTTATCATTTCAACCCTTTGAAAATCATGTTTTTCGCAACTTTGAGCTTAATGGGCCGAAAACCCCAAAAATTGGCCCATTAAGCTAATATTTACATTTCAAGTCCTTTAAAGAGCACAATTTTCATAAAAACATTTATTTTAACTGTTTTGACTCTTTTGACCTTCAAGAAATCGTGGATGGAAACTTTTCACCCAATTTTTGTTTATTTGACAATTTAAGCCCAAAAAATGGTTTTATGGTACAATATGTTTATCATAATCTTGGAGGGTAGTTTTGTTGACTTGTTTAGTGTAATATATCTTAGTTCATGTTTGTTCTCCTACTTATGCCATAGGTTTCGTGATTTCTTCTCTTTTGTTGCATAATCACCACATAAACACTTACAATCACACATACATGCATAAAATCATACATAACACACACATACACATAGATCTACACATTTTACTTGTATTCTCCCCCATAAAACTTGTAAAAACAGAAAAGAGAGGGGTATGAATTCACCTTGAGTTTGTGGGTTCGGTTTTAAAGAAGAATGGAAGAAGTTTGATGCTATTCTCGGCCTAGCAAGCTTCTTGGAGCATCTTTGGCTTAGATGTACTCTAAGATGCAAGATCACAAGTTTGAATTGATTAGGAGGAGATTTTTGATGAAATGAAGTAGTTAGATCATGGATTTAAGCATCAACTTACCTTAGATGATGACTCTTAGGGAGAATCCTACTTGAAAGCTCTTAAATCTCGAAAATTTGATGAAGAAGTGAAGGAGTTGTAGTGTGTTCTTAAGAGTGTTTAAGTGAAAGAAAATTGTGTGTGTGTGTATGTTACTCTCGTCCGAAGAAGAAAAAGAGAGGAGAAGAGAAAGAGTGAAGTGATAGGTACTTGGAAATATGAGATGTTGCATGGATATCCTATGTGCTATTGTAGGGTGGCAAGTAGAAAAGTTAACTCTTTTCTCCCATTTGTGTAGTTGGGCCGAGAGAAGGAGAAGAAAGAAAAGAAATTGGGCCTTCTTGTGCTTAAGTCCATATTTTGGCCCAATTGGATGATTTTTGTCCCAATTGGTCTTTGGGGAGGGTTCACGGCCCAAAATAAATCAAGGAATGAGTTTTATGGCCTTTTAAAGTTAATTAGATTTGTTATGGCTCATTAGTGTATTTTATTTCGTTCTAGGCTCATTATGGCCCGAAATGTTAAAATAAATGAAGGTGGGTCCAATTAGAGCCCATTTAAGAGTTCTAAGCCCGAAATAGTCAAATTGGAATCTTATTGGTCCATTACGCCCAATAAGAAAATCCTAGTCCAAAATGGACTTTAACTGGGATTTCTAGGGTTTCCAATTCCTTGTTAACTATTTGAAGTGCTTGTATAGAGTGTTTGATGGGGATTTTGTTATTGAATAAGCATCATGTATGCTTTTACATTTTTGGTTACCAAATGTTATCATTGTTGTTGTTACAAAGCCTCAAAATTCTTAGTTGTGACAATATTTGAGTCTACTACAACTTTCATTAAGGTTACTACCGTTAAAAAAAATAATATATTTTGCTTACAATTTTATTAAAAAAAATATTCATAAATTCATAAAAAACGCATTGATATAAACATTTTATTATATAAAAAGTAATATATTTTAACTTACGATCTTTATGTCCGTATGCTCTTTATGAATGTATGTATGGATGTTTTTTATAAAATCGTAAATAAAAATATATTACTTTTTAATGAGAATAATCTTAACAAAAGTTGTAGTAAACTCAAATACAAACCACAAAACTTAAGCAACCAAGGTCGTGATGGACATAAGCATCAACAACCCAAACAACTCATTAATGATTGTCCCATGTAGAATGATATGAGAAAAAAGCTAAAGAAATCAGTCATAAGTACTGAATGGAAACAAAAACAACAATAACTTATTTTATAACAAAAAAATACCAAGAACTAAATGTGCAAAAAAAATATTAAAAACTAAATGTGTACAAAGTAAGTAATATATTAACCTTTTAAGTCATTTTTACTGATTTAACTAGAGTAGTCAGTAATAAGGATTAAATGTATACGATTTAACAAGTTGAAGTGATAAATGTAGATATACAAATCGAAAAATTTATTACCTTTTTAAGTCGTTATCCTAAAATATAATTATAAAAAATAATAATATTGATTTGCATTGACCGTTGCGTGAATAAAGGCATTTTGAAGTTTACAATCATTCACGTATTCTATTATAATTATATGGATACAAATCTTAAGATTGATCGCATATACTGCAATTCAAGAAAAAATCATACCTATTGTAACACTCATGACAACATGTTGATTAATCGGATTACGAGATAAAATAATCTTTATATAATTCAAGTTGTGTTGAATAAACTAGTGTGTGTGTTAGTCATACATAATTAGTTTGGGCTCTAAGTTTGTAGTCTGTAGAAATCGTTTTTTTCCTCAAAAAATGGTTTTCTTGAAAAGTCTTACATTATGTTACCATAAATCTTATTGTGGGTAATGACATAAAAACATGAAACAAACTTTTATAAACACATGCTTTGTATAGCTCGACAAAATTGATATTGTTCCAAATCCAATTTATGTTAACTTTAATTTCGTCGATCTGGTATTGGTTTGCAGTTTAATTTCCATTCGGCCGAAGCATGAGCATGTGTAATGATGCCTATAGAAATAAAGAAGACAAAAAAAGTAAAAGCATGTGATATGAAGAAATATAAGGAAATGGCAAAAAAATAATTTTACTTTACAAAAAAGATGACGTGTCAAAAAATAGGATCAGCCTAACAAAAAATCATGTGTATTGACTTTGAGAATAACTTGAAAATGTAAAATATTTTTAGCAAATAAATGGTGATGTGGTTGTATTGCTAGGGGTGAATTCTGTATGTTATTAAAGTCTTTTTTGCTTTTATTAGTGCTATGGTTGATACTAAGTTTATCTATTAGTATTAGTATTATACCACATATAGTTAGTACTAATTTGTTTTGACAACCAACAAATTCGTTTGATACAAACAGATAATGTTATATACCAAATACTAATATTAATATATAGTTGAAGACTATAAAAACAAGAAATGTCTAAGCTTTAAAATCTATAACTTTTACCACTTGTCATGAGTGATTTCGGTGTTACCTACTCTTTTTATGTTTGTGGTGCTATTATGTGACACCTATTATTTTCAGATTTTGGTGCTATTATATGCTAAACCTCCACTAATATACACATATTCAAGGATGATAAAATTGACAGACAATGGAGTAAAAATAGTTGTGAGGTGTTTTGGTGTATGTTGCTCCTTTCTAATTGCTAATATTGTTACGTGGGATGTTATTAGTAGTGAGGTGGAATAAGATTGGTTATTATGTTTTTAAGTTGAATCTTTTCCTAAAAGAGGCTAACATCTCTAATGGCTAGATTGGTTTTATTTTGAAACTTTTAAATCGCAATGTTTGATAAATAAGTTGAAAAAATAGCTTTTATCTTATATATTAGTTTATCAACAAACTATCTAAACGAAGCTTATCAACAAATTAGTTTATAAGCTACTTTTATGAGCAGTAAAATGTTTAATAGGAAAAGACCGGAAGAAATAGGATTCAAACCCACACATGATGCAATCTTCTTGTATGTCGATTTAGCAAACCAATATCTTAAGCCCTTGTGTTATCCTCGTGATCAGATAAGATAGCCCTTTGCGCAACCAACCAATTTCGTAATCCGAATAACTTCTGGTGGTGGTTGTATGGTTGTTTGTTGCATGGAACTGAAAGCATTGAAAAAGTTTTGTTGAAGATTTGGGTTGTGCTGCATGTAAGGGGATATAAGAAATTGCATTGGATGTGAGTTTGAGGTGAGCAGGTTCATATAACTTCCGTATTGTGCGAAACTCATCGGGATGGATGTGTTTGTGTTTGGAGGCGGGTGTTTGAGTTTTGCTCTATAGTTGGTTAAAAGGAAAACTGGTTTTTTTTTTTTTTTTTAAAGTTGAAAATATATTGAAGATGAGAAAAGATTGTTTGGTAAAATTTTATGTTTGTATGTGTATTTATAGATAAAATAAAAAGTATTATTATTATTATTATTATTATTATTATTATTATTATTATTATTATTATTATTATTATTATTATTATTATTATTATTAACATATTACTATTCAACAACGATCAAAATTTTGACCGTTCCACGCGTTATGAGATGTTATGAGGGCAACGAAGGGCAATGGGTAGCCTCACAACGGACAAAAACGAAAAAAAATGGGGGAGGGGGTGTTTCGCATGGTAACGGCGTTGAGGGGGACGCCACGTCAGAAATACAATATGGGTGTTACCCACACCGTTCAGTCTAAGAGTATTGTTACCCAAAGATGGAAACAGGGCCGAGGATTTCAATCCGAATCTATTTTTCTATTTTAATATGAAAATTTTAATGCAAATAAAACTCTAAATTTTAATTTTAGCAACATTTATTTAAAGATTCTACAAAACATAAAAACATTCATAGACAACAAATAAATTGACAAATTTTCTAACCAAATTTATATATACATAAAAGCTTAAAAAGTTGGGCTGCAGTGAACTTCTTTCACTTTTCTATTTTGCCACAGACCTTTTTTTTTTCAATTTCAGGCCACAATAATACTTCCCTTTTCCAATTCTTCTCTTCCGTTCTTATCGGCTTTATTTTTGATTTCCACGTCGCCGCCCTCCTCCTCCAATACTCTTTCGTTCGCATTTCCTTACTTCCTATTTCTTTCCACTCTTCCTTATGCCTCTCTCCCTCGAAACCCTTCAATTGGTTGGTCATAGTTTGCATCAGGTTGCCGACGACATCGACGCCCTTATTTTAATTCAGCTTACCCCACAGCCTTTTTTTGGACTCACCGTCGTCGCCTTCCAATGGGATGCCTTCTCCTGCTTACCTTTTATCTCTATTTCTTCTCAATACCTTTTTACTTCCGTCCGTTTAATTTCACTTTTCATCACTCTACAAAATATGGACGACAGCCATACAGATTGCTGCTTCACTACCTCTCTCTTACCCAATAACAAAATTCGGTGTTTGAAATCTGACTATATCGTTTTAAGCTTCGATTAGCGTATAGTCCGCTGAAGGAACTTCGTCTCCAAAGCCTATTCTGAATCGATAGTTTCTATTGGTGGTTATAGGTTTTTGATTCCATGCTTTCAGTTGGTGCTTGTGGGGTTTTGATTCCAACCATCTTCTTCCAGGGATTCCAATTTTCCACAGCTTCCAAAGTTTTTGATCAAACTGAAATTCCTATTAGACTTATCTGTTTTGTATCTCAAACAATCGATTCCAAACAGAAACAGAAAAGAAGAAACAAGTATCCCTTCATGTTATCCCGATAAGTAGATTTGCATTGCTTTATGGTCTGACCTCTAGAAGCCTGAGATGCAAACTTTCACCCATGAGGTCAATTTTTTGACTTTGATTTTATTGATGCTCTACTTGCTTATACATAGGTTTCGATTTTAGTATATTGATTGAGTGCGGAGTTCTTTGGTTGATTAGGCGTGCAACCCACTTGATTGAAGGAGAGTTTCACTATGCATCCCAACTGCTCGATGAAATGCTTGAACCAGGGTATGTTGATTGTTGATGGATACATATGATTATTTATATCACCGACTGATTCTTATGGTAACTAACATGTGTTCTTGAAGATATTTCATTTGATGGGTGATTTGTGCAAATGTGAAGATAAACAAGTCAGTTTTTTTCTTCTGGAAACATGGCAAAAAGGTAATTGTTTATGAGTTTAAGACATATATTCATTCTGCTCTAAGATTTTTTTGATTGGTATTAACCTTATTGTGTGTGACATCCCCAAAATCACAGCCAGAAAAGACCAGTTTTCATTTATGCTTTTAAAATAATTTCAGAGTAAATCCTTTTGATTTGAAAGAGTTGCGGAATTTGTTCCCAAAAACAAAGTATGATAAAATAAGATTTACCAAAGCATTTCTTAAAGAATTGTATTTTTCATTATATTACAATACTCGGGATGTCATGTTCCGATAAACAGACCAAAAGCATAAACATTTAAATATAGACCTTACAACAGTTATTTACAACAACAGGTCTATAATCCAAAAATAACTTGACAAGTCATCCAACTTATGCTCTGGCGCCACTACCTGTAATACAAAGAAACTGAGTGGGTCAGGCTTGGGAGCCTGGTGAGCATATAAAGTTTTCAACCCACAATAAATAATTATATTTAATTCCACCAACTAACAATAACTCAATTACCCATTCCCGTTATTCTCACTTTACATCCCAAAGACAACTAACATAAGGGACCTAGTCTAAGAATATTTCATCGGGGCGACAACACATGATTCGGGGGTTCCTCAGCAATATAAGTCAAATAAGGCAACCATGAGGGGGATGGAGTACAGCGAATGAACACCCAAATTCATTAACACCTACATGTGGCGAGCCTGCTAGTGTTCCACAAGACTATCTAGAAAAGTCTGTGGTCATCATCTAAACTCCGCTAGATGATTGAATCAAAACAACAACGAGACCTCTCATCTATTTATTACACACCAACTATCTACCCATGTTCTACCCAACATATTAGTAGATAAAAATATACATTTTTATACATAGTTTAAAAAAACCTGTATAGCATGCTTTAATCAATACATATTCCACATAACAAATGAGGCACACACACATAACACATATTTCATAGAGAATAAATCAGATCTATGAGATAGAAGAGACTGAATATACATTCACACATATAACAACAAAATATATACACATAGCACGTATTTTATATAAAATACTTCATAATATTGTATTGGAAGAAAATAACTACACACTCACTTGATCAGAAGATGATCGGACAGCACTACGGGTTACAGTAGTAGTAATCCTCAGCAGATCTGGAAGATCTTCACAAAAATCGAACTTCTCGCGGGCAGAGCTTCGGCTCGGGAATCGCACTTCTCGGGATTTTCGGGGCTTCGGGACTTGGTTCGAGATATTTCTTGCACGTAAATCGAGGTAAAACGGGAGAGAGGAGAGAAAATAGCAACCCTAAACGGCTGGCCCTTCAAATCTATTTATAGGGCAAATTTGGCCCTTGCCACGTCGTGACAACCTTTTTCCACGTCGTGGGCTTGGTCGTCACTGCATACGTCATCGCAAGTTGCATCTGGGGGACTCCCGGAGGTGTCAGAAGACTTGCCACGTCATGGCACTGCTTGCCACGTCGTGGTCTCTGACACAGCTTTGGGGTTCGCGCCTCGAACTTCAGAAATTCATAACTTTCGCATACGAACTCCGTTTTCGACATTCTTTATATCGACACGAAGGTGAGATTATGATCTACAACCATTGTTTAGACTTCATTGGCTAATTTTGAATTTATTTTTAATATATTATTAGTATATTACTTATATAGTATTTTTAGTAGGCCGGGACAGGAAAACTCTGTTCGAAATTCATAACTCCTTCATCTGAACTCCGTTTTCGTCTGTCTTTTTATCGTTGGACCACTATCAATGAGATCTTCAGTTCTCATTTAGAAATTGTTGGCTAAATATCACTCGATCTCTATTTCGAGTATTCGGGTTGCATACCGCTAAGTCGAAACTTCGAAAAAGCATAACTTCCTCATACGAAGTCAAATTTAGGCGTTCTTTTTATGCACGCTCTTGGTTTAAATAAATCTACAACATTTGCTTAGATCACTAAGGCTAAATATTGCACTAACGTAAATTTCACCTTTTACGTCATTCAGCGTTGCCGGTTCTGTTGCGAAACTTCGACAGGTCATAACTTCTTCGTTATAACTCGGATTTCGACATTCTTTATATATTCGGAAACCTCGTTTCAACCACAACAACATTATCCATAAATATAGGCTTTATCTAACATTTCATTTTGATGCTTATTTTTATTCTTAATTAAATTAAGTCACACAATTAATCAAATAACACATAATACTTAAATATTTCATCATTAATACTTCAAAAAGAGTTACAAGGGTTAACCTAGATTATTACATCAATGATAATGCCTAGCCTGAAAACGCGGGCATTACATTGTGATATTGCATATTTACAACAACTTTGGTGTTGCAGGTTATTATTAGGCTCACATATTATCATATGCCACATTACTCCACCTATTACCTCCCACTCACCCAAAAGAATCAACTCTAATTTTCCCATTGTAAGCCTCTACTTTCTCTCTGTATAGTTTCATAAGTTGTTTTAATTCACTCACTTTCTTCAAGTAAAATTTACTATGCTTCCCCTTTAATTCATATGGGTATATTGAAGTTTGTGAAAAAGTATATGGTAATTTTTTCTGTTTTTTAGTATCAATTAAAACCATGTTCAATCATCCATTTCATCTTTGGTTTAAGCTACAATGAAGGGAGATGTTTTATATTGATTGGAGTAAGTTATAATGTACTCTTACTTTCTGAATTTTAATGTATTTTAGTCCAACATTGAAAACCTTTTCAAATGTAATCCTTATTTTGGACTTCCATATCATTTTTGTGTCAGAAATCTTCAAACATGCGACAAAATTGATATGTAACTTGAAATGCAAACCTAAATCAGCAAGTCCAAGGAAAACTTTGAAATAAAGACCATAAATGAAAAAAAATATCTACACAATGTAAAGGAAAAAGCACACGCACCATTTTTGTATTTTACTCTACAAATCATCAATACATGATACTATTAATCACTATTTTTTATCATATTTTTTGTTTTTTGTACACTAATTCTAGGTATTGGAGCGTTTGAGCCGTCTTGATGAAATTGTGCTTCTGATGCATCAGGTTAGCTGCCATATGCTCGCATTTTTATTTATTTCTTTTGCAACATTCAAATTAAAAAAAAAAAAAAAAAAGTCTTATTAACAAATTTTAAATAAAAAAATATGTTATCTACCCAAATATAGCACCATAGTTTTATTTTTGTTTTCCTTATTAGGACATTATACTTGAAAAAATTACCCACATCACAGGTAACTATGAAAATTGCTTTGTATATAAGTGTCGTTGCTATAATTGGTAGATTTCTAAGAGTATAATGTCGTAACAGGTAGATATGAAAATACAATGTTAATCATGTTACATTAAACTTACCAACAAAAGTAGATTGCTATCTTTTACATCTAACCCATATCTAAAAGACATTCGCTATAGACAATAATACGAATTAAGTAAATGTTCTTGAATCAATCTTAAAAAAGGGTAATTTGTGAATTGAAAGAATGAGTTTTATTTATACTGATTATTTGTAGAACTGGAGCAAAACATCACTCTTATGTTAATTTATCGACCTTGCCGCAAGGAGGAAGCTTCAAGATTTGACCATTGGTCCAATTATTATTGTAAGTTTGTGGTCAACTTGCTCCTACAAAAAATTCCAAAAAGAAAGTTATCTTATCTGTTGAATTTAATTGCTGCAAAAATAATAATGAAAAGCAGTAAAAAAATGTGATTTTTGATGTTTGCAGTTCACAATGGAGGCTGTACTAGCTCGCATGAAGAAATTGCTTGAGATTCCTTAATCAGAGAATCAAGGAAGGAATGGAATTATAAATTCTGTTGCCAGATGGAATGGCATTGACCATTCCGTTCTTCGTGTCATGGATAAATGCAACATAAACAAATTTTGTTTATTGAGTAAATGTTTTTCTTTTCTTTTTCATTCTCATCGAATGTCATGGATAAATGCAACATAAACAAATTTTGTTTATATAACTTTTAGTGCTATTTTGAAAAAATTATTTTCAGCTTTCTGTTTGCAAATATTATTCAAACTAGCGTCAGAAGCGCAAATGAATTCCTTCTAATTTAAAATACATTCATAGAAAATAAAGTAACTTTATCTATAATAGATTGTATATCATAAATAAAGTAACTTTATCTATAACAGATTGTATATCATATGTGGTTTTTGTCTCGTCGACCAAATCAACGACGAGTTTTAAAAGTCACCTATACTTCACCGATTTACCTCTTTCTCCATCCTATAAGGGAGGAAGGAGTCGTTCCCTCTCAACCCACTGAATCCACTGCCACATCAATTTTTGTCTATTCTTTTATTCATCTTTTCCAACTCACAACACACGGAAATCCTATCTTTTTGAACCCACTCAACCCATCCAATTAAAAAAATACAAAACAACTAAGGTACAAGTTTTAAAACACATGGTACAAGAGAAACTAAGAAAGAAAAGTAGAGAGATGATGAAGTGGGTTAGTGAAACCAATCAATCCACTCGTTGAAGCAGAAGTAGTACCGCCGATAACTCCATTGCTAATTAAGATTTTACATTTGATTGTTTTATACTTTTTTTAATTGAGTGAGTTCAAAAAGATATGGTATGTGATAGTGGCTTCAGTGGGTTGGGAGAGAATGACTCCCTCCTCCCTAAAACTTTCAAAATGCTATTGATTATTTAACAAGTCACATCTCTTAAACAGCACAGAAAACATTCGATGTTATGTAAGACGTTCATTAAAACGCATAACTTAATTAAATAAAGTTAAATTCTACGGCCAAAAATAATGTCTTATTATAAGACGATCATGTTTTGAACAAATATCTATTTCATAAAAGTTACTTTATAAAATACCTTTTTTAGAAAACTCACTTTTTTTTACGAAATGACATCACCTTAATGATGCCATTTTGCATTAAAGACTATGTTATTTTATAATGGGGATTATTAATATGTATATTTTTTCATATAAACACACTCTTAAAATTCCTTTTTTGTAAAATAAAATGCAAATTTAGAAGCCCACCTATTTGGATCGGTATTGTGATAAGTGATAAACCTGAATAAAGTTATTAAGCAGAAAATGATTGAAAAAGAAGGCATTGTAATTGTATAAGGACCCCAAAATTATAGGCGTCAACTTGGGAGTTCTCCATGTGTCTGAAAAGAGGAGGTTGAATGGAGCACGGAACATGTACAAGTGTGGACACAAATAGTTATAGTGGTTCCATCATGGACAACCTTTAAGTAACCACTTATCCGATCCAACCTTCTCCATTCATATAAACAATCATACTATATTTTTATATTGGATTGATAAATTAAATCTTCCTTTTATATATATATATATATATATATATATATATATATATATATATATATATATATATATATAATAAAGAGAAATTAAATATTATATTTGTTCTTATCAATCTTTCTAACCATTTAAATGATAACATATGTTATATTAGTATCCTAAAATATCATTAAATTTAATTAAATAAATATTAAATTTTACACATGTCATCATTTAATTGGATATGATGATATTTGGGAACAAAAGACAGAAGGATATTTAGGGGGTGTTTAGATAGGAAAAAAAAATATTTATTACTTATTGTTTATTCTCAACACAATAAGCTAAGTTTAAGTGTTTGGATAAAATTCTTAAAAATCAACTTATTATGCTAGAAATATGCTAAATAAGCTAATTTTAATAAGCATCCTCCTTGTTGACTGCTTATTGTTTATTCTCACCACAAATAAGCTAATAAGCTAATCCAAACACCCCTTGATTTTTCAAAAAAAATCTATATTCAATAATTGAGAATTTAAAATAGGAAAATATGTTATCTAATGAAAACCAGGATAAATGGATTTCCCAAACTTTTTTTGTGTTTTTTTTCATTTATTTTGAGGTCCTTTTATATGATAGGTCATCTAGAGCCTATATGGCGATTATGTTGACATGTTACATTCTAAAATTGGTGATTGGTTTGTTTATGTGGCAATCCATGTCAACTTACTAAAAAAGAAAAACAAAAAATTGCATAAGAGGGCAAAAAGCAAAGTTCAAACTCAGGATCTCATATTCTTGAAGCGAGGGAAACGAGATTGAACTGAGGATAACTAATTAAAGAGTTCTATTCTAAGTAGAATTTAGGAATTCAATGATTCAAGGTATTATGTATAATTTTTGACTTAGTGCATATATCGTTTTTGGTCGAATCCAGTGTCCAATTCGACTATGAAATATATTTATTAATCAAAATTCCTAATTTTTTATTTAATCTCGTTTTGCAAGGAGGTTTTAATAAATTTAAATTTATGGGGATGTTTGGATGAAAATAGAGAAATGGACAATACTCAATTAATCGATTTAAAATAAAGTGGTTTATTTATGGATGATGGATCCTACATTCCTACTTTTGCTATATATTTTTATTTTATTTTATTTTATATGTTTTATACTTTTTAAATGGTAAATAACTAAATATATACTCTACTATGCAGAAAAACAAACGGGCAGAGAAGAAAGTCCCATTTAATGTTTGGATCCTGGGCTGGATCCGGTTAGATATGGGCTTCAGTTTCAGTTATTAAATTTTAAAGTGGTCCAAGGCTGAGTTTCATAAATTTCAACAAGGACCGGACCGGAGTTTTACATTTAATTTCTAAGGCTTAAAATTTCACTGTTAATTTCTAGAAAGTTTTTATATAACTGTATACTTGGGAAAAATCTATATTTTGTACCTAATTTTTTTTACAACATTTTTTTTTTTTTAATCCTTCATCTAAAAAGTCCAAAATTTGTGTTTGGCGTTATTTTTTTTTGAGAAATTTACAAAAATAGTCATTTACACTAATGACATTACAAAAATAGCAAAAAAAAATCGAAATTACAAAAATGGTCACCCATTTCGCAGATGAGAAGGTCCCATCTGCGAAATGGGCTTCTCATCTGCGAAAGTACAAGCACCTAAACCACAACAAAATCGAAATTACAAAAATAGCCACCCATTTCGCAGATGAGAAGGTCCCATCTGCGAAATGGGCTTCTCATCTGCGAAAGTACAAACACCTAAAGCACAACTGTGCTTTAGGTGCTTGTACTTTCGCAGGTGGTTTTAATATTTTTTTTTTTTAATTTTTTGCTGTATATATAGGGGTAATTTCGCAGATGGAATAGGTCCATCTGCGAAATCCTCTGACTCTATCTGCGAAATCGTTGTTATTTTTGTATTTTTTTTTTTTTAGGTTGACTATGAAATGGTTTGTTTTGACTACGAAATCAGGTTGCTATATAAACAGTTTTGTAGAAAAAATATCATTTTGGTTGTTATTTGTTTAGGAACTCTCTCTACAATTTGCTCAAAAAATGATTGAATATATGGTTTGTCTTGTAACCGGTGGGAGATGACAAGTTAATGGAACTAATCTGGAATACATATGTCCACAGGGAGGTATTTCTGAACTTGCTTTGATATTTTCTGAGTATATTAGTTATAGTGATTTTGTATCTTTGGTAAGAAGCAAAATTGGTTTGTTAGACAAATATAGAATTAGTCTTCGTTTCCACCATCCTGAATTAAATTATTATATAGCTATAGTTGAAGATTTGGATGTTAGAATGTTGATAAACGTAATCAAATGTAGTGGAGGAAGGGCTGTGAAAGTGTTTGTGGTGGTTGATGAAGTTGAGGAGGTTAATGGGGGTGGTGAAATTGGAAACCAGGTTGTTGGTAATTTATGCAGTTATAAAGGGAGCAACGATCCGATAGGTACTTTCAATACTCCTAGTGAACCTCAGTTTCACAGTGTTGCTGAAAATGTTAATGTTAGTTATTCACCTATTCACTATGTGGAACCTGAGAATTACAAGTCTGTTGGTGATGATGATGTTGGTACATATCTTAATCATGTGGGTGGTCGTTGTGATGATGTTGCCGAACAAGAAGTTAAACTTATGAATAGGCGTGTGGTAGATAAAACTAAAAAGAAAAAAAAATCAAGTCAAAAAAATGAAAAAAATCATATTTACGGGCATTATGTTGATGTTGGTGATGTATGTTTAGATATAAGCGAGCTACAAAGCAATTCCGATAGAGATGAGTTGGGTGATGAAGTTAAAGCTAAGTTTCCCGATAACCTTTTTCACGGTATGCCCCCTGTACCAGCATGGCCAGTTGATATTAATGAAGATATCACAACACAGATGGTAGACATGAATCTTCAAAAGATTCAATGTGAGAGTATATTTAAGAACAAAGAACTTTTAAAGCGGTGTATTGGTAAAAAATGTCTTCGAGAAGGTTTCCAGACGAGGACAAGTAGATCCACCAAATCAAGGTATGAAGCTGTGTGTGTTTCGAAAAATTGTTCTTGGTTACTAAGAGCAAAAGCAATTAAAAATTCTGATGGACCTTTCCAAGTGAATAAATTTTTTGATGTACACACATGTTCTTCAACATTGTTGCAACCTAATCATCGACAAGCAAACAAATATGTTTTGGGTGAATATGTTGCTGATGTTTTGGCTGAAG